GGACTTATGCCAATCATGTTAGATAATCACAGAGAACAAGTGTGTGAAGTTTCAAGCCATTCCCTTCAGTAGTTATGGAGATACCAGCTTGCACGCAAAAACTTAACCAAGAATTTCTAAGTTGAAAAGGGGCATAATTATGCAAAAGAGCAAATCAGAGTAATGGGACTTGTGCCAATCATGTTAGATAATCACAGAGAACAAGTGTGTGAAGTTTCAATCCATTCCCTTCAGTAGTTATGGAGATACCAGCTTGCACGCAAAAACTTAACCACAGGGACGCCGACGCTGACAAATGGGTGACTGCATTAGCTCGATTATTCTGCGAATAGTCGAGCTAAAAACAAAAATTGTGACCCCAATTTTTTTTCCGCTTAAAACGTTTCTGATATCTTATTCTAACAACATGCCAAGTTTAAAGAAATTCTATTGAACAGTTTTAATTTTGCCTATGTCTATATGAAAACGTCCTTAAATAAATACTGTTCCACTAAACAATGAAGCACATTAAACTGTATATACCTATCTCTGGCATCGTTGATATCTACAATATTATTATCATCAGATGTTTCCATTAGTAACCGTAAACATTCTGTATGACCATTTATAGCTGAAATATAAAAACAGTCACTTAACTAATTAATCCCCAACCTATTGCAACCAAAGTGATTATCCTATGTCACAAGTATAAGGCCAGGCCAGCCTACACAATCGTGTAGTCTGACCTGGCTCTATACTGGTGGCTGACAAATTTACATTACTATGTACAATACAAAGAGTAAAGTTTTTGTCATTATTGTCACAGCTGCAGCATCGTCACAGCTAAAATATCGTTACAGCTGAAGCATTGTCACAGCTGAAGTATCATCACAGCTGAAGCATTGTTACAGCTGAAGCATTGTTACAGCTGAAGCTGAAGCATTGTTACAGCTGAAGCATTGTTACAGCTGAAGCATTGTTACAGCTGAAGCATTGTCACAGCTGAAGTATCGTCACAGCTGAAGTATCATCACAGCTGAAACATTGTCACAGCTGAAGTATTGTTACAGCTGAAGCATTGTTACAGCTGAAGCATTGTTACAGCTGAAGCATTGTTACAGCTGAAGCATTGTCACAGCTGAAGCATTGTCACAGCTGAAGTATTGTCACAGCTGAAGTATCGTCACAGCTGAAGCATTGTCACAGCTGAAGTATCATCACAGCTGTAGCATTTCACAGCTGAAGTATCGTCACAGTTGAAGCATTGTTACAGCTGAAGCATTGTCACAGCTGAAGTATCGTCACAGCTGAAGCATTGTTACAGCTGAAGCATCATCACAGCTGTAGCATTTCACAGCTGAAGTATCGTCACAGCTGAAGCATTGTCACAGCTGAAGTATCGTCACAGCTGAAGCATTGTCACAGCTGAAGTATCGTCACAGCTGTAGCATTTCACAACTGAAGTATCGTCACAGCTGAAGCATTGTTACAGCTGAAGTATCGTCACAGCTGAAGCATTGTCACAGCTGAAGTATCGTCACAACTGAAGTATCATCACAGCTAAAGTATCGTCACAGCTGAAGCATTGTCACAGCTGAAGTATTTCACAGCTGAAGTATCGTCACAGCTGAAGTATTTTACAGCTGAAACTTCATCACAGCTGAAGCATTGTCACAGCTGAAGCATTGTCACAGCTGAAGTATCGTCACAGCTGAAGTATCGTCACAGCTGAAGTATTGTCACAGCTGAAGTATTGTCACAGCTGAAGCATTGTCACAGCTGAAGCATTGTCACAGCTGTAGTATAGTCACAGCTGAAGCATTGTCACAGCTGAAGCATTGCAAAAGCTGAAGCATTGTAATAAAATTATACATTTACAGAATTTATGCTCTAAATTGCTTTCAAAGCAAAATATGTTGTGTTTTGTCAAATTTTGGAAATTTATGCTCACTAAAGAACAATTAAACTATCTATATACCTGCAGCGTGAAGTGGTGTCCTACGTGAGATGTTATCATGTACGATTATACTGGCACCTTGAAGTAGTAACGTCTCTACACATTCTGTATGACCATTAAAACACGCTAGGTCCAGCATGGTTCGTCCTGTAGCAAGATTATTGATTACATCTTCATATACTTTGTAATGAAATAAAAAAATATCTGTATATGTGCATTTTTAAATTAAATTAATATATCGTTAGAGTTTAGTGTTACTAATTTTTTGTTGTGTGGTTTGGATGCTGTTAAAGGAACTCCACTGAGGTCCAAAAGGCTTAAAAACATAAAGTTTAAATTTCTAACATAGATCAGCTGGGATACATAAAACAGGAAGACATGCAAAAGATAATTAAGATATATACTCAGAAATAAAAATCGTATTTTTGTGATACTCTTAGCCAAATTTGAGTGAAAAGCATTGCAACCTTTTCATTTTTGAGTGATTTTTAACAATTTAAAGAATTATTCTAGAAAAAAAATGCCTCTGTATCAAAAGTCCCTGACTATACATTAATTCTGTCCATTTTGCCAGTATACATGTAGCTATACACTTTAAATCAAACTAACTTTTTAAATTATATGGAAAATAGTGTGTGATGAGATATAAATGATATCTCATTGAAAACATAATTTTTTGTTAGTAAACATAAAACAAAAACATAAATATACCATTAACATCTCGGATTTCAAGGTTCATAACACACGACAACAATACAAGCAGTGCTTCATTATGTCCTCGAGATGCCTGAAATATATAGTGAAAGAGTGTAAACTTTTACCTTTAGTCCCCTATATTTGTGAAGTGGACTCTTCCTGCTTCAAATTCTAAACAGTCACTTGTAATGTACCAGTTAACTGTGACAACAAACTCCTAAGGGGTGGTAGGATTTAGACTTTCAGATTCCAGACGACTGTTGTGTTAAGTTCAGGTATACTAGTATATCAAGGTTTGTCTGTTTGGTTTAACAGCTCACCAACTCATTTTAGGTCATATGGTGCCGAAACGGAAAGTTGATTTTGGCTAACCTTAAAAACAACAAGGCTTTTTTTCCCTTGGTTTAGTTTGATTCACTTAGACAATGTTAATGTCATCAGGCAACTTTCCAGCTATAACCATTGGACAGATATGCAAAGATATCTATTTATATTTTTTACCAATCACATACAGGCACCTATTAGTGCTTCGAACTCGAAGCTTTGTAGGAAAAATGATTCAGAACCAATGATCTTAACAGGGAAAGCAGTCACAAAAGAGAAACACTTTCAATGATTGGGAAAGATTGAGGTCTATTTCAAAACAGTGAACAGGTGTTCTAGAATTTTAAGTGTGGTGTAACAGCATACCAACACAATTTAGGTCATATGGTGCCGAAACAGGATAGATGATATTGGCTAACTTCGGTTGTTACAAACTTGAAGCAATACAGAGGTTAAAACTACCCCACCTGCTGGAGATAAGAGATGCATAGACACCAGTAATTTTAAGTTGCCTCTTATGATCAAGCAGGGATAAGATATGTATATATATTGTAGGAGCAGTAGTCCAGTGGTAGGACGCGCGCTTAGGGATCAAGAGGTCCCGGGTTCGAACCCAACCAGGGGCACTGCTAATTTCCTTGAGCAAGAAATTTACCTGCGATTGCTTCACTTCACCCAGGTGTAAATGGGTACCTGCGAGGGTGGTATAATTCCGTTGCGCCAAGTGTCGGCTGCACTAAGCGGAGTTAAAAGACTCCCCAGGGAGATTGATTGATAGATACCAGTAGCCCGATGACCAGGGGTAATAGCTGTAAAGTCGGTGAACGTGCGTAAGCATGAAACTTAGACTATAAAATGCAATTACTTTTACTTTTTACTTTTATAAGTCTCCTACAAGAATAGTGCAAATCTATATGGGACAATTAGCATGGTTTGCGATGAGCAAAATGTCGAAATTTTATAATACTGCTTAAATGAAATATTACAGTAAAGATGGACTGACACAACACCTTGCCCAGTCACATTATATTAACAATGCAATGACCAGACCTATTATCCTGGTAAGTAAAGTAGAGGAACCACTACATCAAGAGGGCAAAATATATAAATAAAATGCCTTGAAAGAATATGAAATGCAGATGTGGATATGCAATATGTTGAATTTCTTTTTTAAATTTCCTTATATAAAACATGCTAAACCACTGCAATATGGGGCAAAGTGGGGATGCTGGGGAGGGGGATAATGCTCATACAGGGGGATTAAAAAAAACCAAAACATTCCATCAGTGAGGCCAGTCCAGAATTGCCTGTATTATAGATGTTGGAAACACTTGCACAGAGATGAAATAATCAATTTTCCTTGAGTAATTTTGTTTTTAAAATAAAGTGCAATATTTTACAATATTTGTATCATTATTAACCAATCAAATCTGTTGAATGCATTTTATTTAGGAAATAAGAATAATATTGACTTACACTCAGGTGGGCAGGAGAATAAGGGGCTTCCCCTTTAACCAAGTTTATTGCTGATACATCTAGTAACTGAAAATAACAATAAAATATTGTGTATAAATTTATATATTTTTAAAATTGTGGCTGAAATTAACTTAAGATGTGCTGAATGTGTATATATCAAAAACAGAAGGCACATTTTTCCTAACTTTGCACTTAAAATAGCTTAAAGAACCAATATCTGAATTAAAACAGACTTATCGCACATATCTTTAAATTGTAAATAGATTATGTTTTACACATAACAAATTCTTTAAACTAATATATGTACTTATGAAATTAAACTGATTCTAATTCTGTCTTATTAAATTAAGCTTAAAGCTTAAAGATGAATAACATTTTTTAATAACAATCAAAACATTGCTAGTGTTGGTAGAAATTATAAGATTTTTTTTTGAGTTCATATTTTGTTCTATCACCTTCTGAGGGATCAGATATTTTTTTATATAATTTATTCATTCTAATTTTATTATATCTATTACATCCATATTAATATTATCATCTATTACATCCATAAATAACAATTACCATTTCAAGGGCTAATCATGTGCCCCTTTAAAGCTGCGTAATGTATAGCATTGTATCCCTGATTGTCAGAAATTCCTGGCCGAGCCTCGTGCTTCAACAGTAACTCCAGTACCCTGAAAATATATAAAAACCATTCAATATATATTTGTAAGATCATTTTTGATACAGTACTACACATGGAGTATTCCTCTGAAGTTTCTTTAACAATGGTTGTTTGTTTGTTGGTTTTTACAGCGCACCAAATACAGTATAGGTCATATGGAAAGATGATTTTTGGCAAACCTCGGGTGTTAAAAACACAATGGTTTGAAGAAACATATATATGTAAGCTAACTTGTATTATATGAATAAGGACTGCTAAGTGCATTTGAATTGATACTAATCACCATTATGAGTACACCACCTATTCGTAACCCTGGCCCCTTCGACCCGAGGAAAAATGGGACAGGAATCAAATTATTGTCCTTTTGTCTGTCCTCAGTCCTAATAAATAACTGGGACAGAACATTAAGGGAAAGGTCCATAAAATCATAAAATGAGGTTATTAGGAGGAAGTTTAAATTTTTTCGTTTTCATTCAAATAAAATTTCGTTCTTCAAACAACCAACTTTCACATTATTAGCAATTGATATATCTAATATTTGTTCAGGTATTTTAACTTACTTAGCATCATCATCAGCAGCGGCTGCAGCAGCAAAGTTGTAAACGGTGTGCAACCCGCGTGATCCTGTACATCTACTGCACTCCCCCGCATTTAGCAGAGAAAATACACATCCATGTGTACGTTTGCAGCTGCGTAATGTATAGGAAACCTGAAAAAAAACAAGAGGGCCATGATGGCCCTGAGGTCGCTCACCTTATATAGCCCCCCCCCCCCCCGGGCCAATTTTTACCCAAGGGCTTTTATTTTTTTATTTGAACAGACTTGGTAGACCCCATAAGAAGATGTTCATGCTAAAAATCTAAGTTCTAGCTCATTGGGTTTTTTAAAAGAAGATTTTAAAGTTTTTTACTATACACATATAGTTAAAAACAATGACACCCCCTGGGGCAGGGCCAGTTTTTTGACCCCGGGCTTTTTATTTGAACAAACTTTGTAGATATTTACTTAAAAGATGTTTCATGCTTAATATCTAAACTCTAGCTATTTGGGATTGAAGATTTTTAAATTTTTGCTATATACATATAAGGAAAATCAATGACCCCCCCCCCCCCCCGGGCGGGGCCAGTTTTGACCCTAGGGCTTTTATTTGAACATACTTGGTAGACACCCATTAGAACATGTTTCATGCTAAATATCTTAGCTCTTGCTCTTTGAGTTCTTTAAAAGAAGATTTTTTAAATTTTTACTATATGCATATAGGGAAAATCAATGAGCCCCTTGGGCGGGACCAATTTTGACCCCAGGGCTTTTATTTGAACAAACTTGGTAGACACTCATTAGAAGATGTTTCATGCTAAATATCTTAGCTCTAGCTTTTTGGGTTCTTTAAAAGAAGATTTTTTAAGTTTTTACTATATGCATATAGGGAAAATCTATGACCCCCTGGGGCGGGACCAATTTTGACCCCAGGGCTTTTATTTGAACAAACTTGGTAGACATTCACTAGAAGATGTTTCATGCCAAATATCTAAGTTTTAGCTCATATGGTTCTTTAAAAGAAGATTTTTTAAGTTTTTACTATATGCATATAGGGAAAATCAATGACCCCCCGGGGCCGGGCCAATTTTGACCCCAGGGCTTTAATTTGAACAAACTTGGTAGACACTCACTAGAAGATGTTTCATGCTTAATATCTTAGCTCTAGCTCTTTGGGTTCTTTAAAAGAAGATTTTTTAAGTTTTTACTATATGCATATAGGGAAAATCAATGACCCCCTGGGCCGGGGCCAATTTTGGCCCCAGGGCTTTTATTTGAACAAACTTGGTAGACATTCACTAGAAGATGTTTCATGCCAAATATCTATGCTCTAGCTCTTACAGTTCTTTAAAAGAAGATTTTTTAAGTTTTTACTATATGCATATACGGAAAATCAATGACCCCTCGGGGCCGGGCCAATTTTGACCCCAGGGCTTTTATTTAAACAAACTTGGTAGACACTCACTAGAAGATGTTTCATGCTTAATATCTTAGCTCTAGCTCTTTGGGTTCTTTAAAAGAAGATTTTTTAAGGTTTTACTATATGCATATAGGGAAAATCAATGACCCCCTGGGGCGGGGCCAATTTTGACCCCAGGGCTTTTATTTGAACAAACTTGGTAGACACTCACTAGAAGATGTTTCATGCCAAATATCTAAGCTCTACCTCTTAGGGTTGTTTAAAAGAAGATATTTAAAGATTTTTCTTTCGGTTTCCATGGCAACCAGAGTTCTGCATGGAATTAAATTCTTTGAACAATTTTTAAAGGTGACCACCAAAGGAACATTCCTGTGAAGTTTGGATGAAATTGGCTCAGTGGTTTATGAGGAGATGTCATTTAAAGCAAAAGTTTACGGACGGATGACGGACGGACGGACGCCGGACGAAAAGCTATCACAAAAGCTCACCCTGTCACTTTGCGACAGGTGAGCTAAAAAATTATACCAGCGTAAAATTAACATTGCTTTTTTGCATGCCTGTAAATTGATCTGGGGTGAAGGTGCAATACCATTATAACATTAAAGGCCCATTATGCCCCAGTATTGCTTTTATTTTATTTTCAAAAACTTTATATTTGGTGTTCTGTTATAGTTTCCAGAAGGTTACAAATTTGCCAATTACTTGAACCATCTATTATTGCTGGAGTGTTCAATAATAGTGATTTACAATTTCGTATTGAAGTCGAAATTTGCCCTTTTTAACGAAGAAAATATTTATTTGTTTCTGAGGAATAATGTGCCTTTAAATTATTGTTGTACCACTGGCTATTTTTCTACCTGTTTCTACCATCTCTCTAAAGAGAACTTAAAACATAACTATAGTACAAATTCATTCTGTAAGCTAGAACCATCCATACATGGACACAACAGTTGGACAAAAAATTACATGTTAACCTATTTAAATATGAACTAATGTTGACCTTCAAGGTCAAAATTTGAAGATTTTAGAAAATTTTGCCATAATTCCTATTGATAAATGCCCCTATAGTGACTAACTTGCTGACAATAAAATTATCATACCTTCCGGCTGTGTCCTCTTGATTAACATTGGCTCCCCCTTTTATCAGCATCTCAACATTGTCAATCTTCCTGTAAAATAATATAAAACCCCATAACTTAGCATATATTAAAAGATGGACAGCTTTCAAATTCATTCAATAAAAACTTTGAAAAGGAGTTTTGTGAGATACATTTTGATTTCAAAATAATAACAAGAGCTGTCACAGGAGACAGCGAAGCTCGACTAATAAAATACTGGACGCAGTAAGGAGGACAAAACTATGAAAGAAAAATCAATTATGTATAATTATGTATTAAGTTATAGTAAAAAAATAATATTTGTTAACATAAACTCCAAGATCAAGGGGAATAATTCTAGAAATAGTCATGCTAGAGTTATGGACCTTGTCACACAACATTTGTGTAATGATAAGAAATATATATTTGAAGTTTGAAGTAGATACCTTAAAAAGTAAAGAAGTTATTATATTTCTTAAAGAAAATCCTAAGTTCAAAGAGAGATTAATCTGTAAATATTGCATCAAGAGTTATGAACAATGTCACATAAAATGTAATTGTTTGATAAGGAATAAGTATTTGAAATTTGAGGTAGATACCTTTAAAAATAAAAAAGTTATAATAAAAAATAACATTTTTCTAGTAAAAAAATCTAAGTTTATGGGGAGATAATTCTTGCAATATTGGTGCTAGAGTTATGAACCATAAGATGTGGATGATGATAACGTAAACATATTTGAAGTATGAAGTTGATCCCTTTAGAAATAAATAAATAACAGTAAAAAAAAATATTTTTTATGGAAAATTCTAAGTTCAAAGGAGATAAATCTGAAAAATATTGGTGCTAGAGTTTATGAACCTTGTCACATAAGATGGGGATGATGATAACGTAAATACATTTGAAGTATGAGGTTGATCCCTTAAGAAATAAGGAAGTAACAGTAAAAAATAGTATTTTTTAAGGAAAATTCTAAGTTCAAGGGGAGATAAATCTGAAAATATTGGTGCTAGAGTTATGAACCTTGTCACATATGATGTGGTTGATGATAAGGAACATATATTTGAAGTTTGAAGTTGATACCTTAAGAAATGACAAAGTTATAGTGAAAAATATTTTACTGCACCAAAACTTTAATCTAAAATCTGGACGCTGACGCGGACGCCGGGGCGAGTAGGACAGCTCTCCATATACTTCGTATAGTCGAGCTAAAAATTAAACTGGCTGTGTGTATTAAGTGAAATAGGTAGAGAGTAAAATTTATCTACAATGACACTAAACAACTTCATACACCTTTATTTACCTACTACATTTTGCTAATCTAACCTACTAATATATATTAACTTAACAATTACATTGACAATTACTTACCCACTCCATAGACTATAATTTTACCAACTGCATAGAGCTCAACTTACCCACTACAAGCAGCAGCATGAAGGCAGGTTCTACCACAGTCATCAGGGACGTTAAGATCTAATTCAGGCATCACAGATAGTAATTTTCTAACACAGTCCATATGACCATACAGGGCCGCCACATGTATTGCCATCATCCCGTGTACACCACGTCTATAATATAATATAAGTACATTTTAAAACAACCTGCCAAAAACATCACCAAAATGGTCATTCTTAGAGATTTTATTTTTATCTGAGGCAACAGATGCGCCAATGAAAACAACCGATTTGGCCAGGGTTCAAGGGGGATATTTTAATCTAAAAGTTGAAAATATGACAGATTTGTATAACAATTCAATCAATGATATGGATCGCCAATCTATTAATAATGAAAACCCTGCATTCTCTTTCCTGTTTTTATTTTGGACGTTCTAAATTATTTTTTAATAATAATCAGGGTTGTAGTTATTTTTGCATAAGATATTTCACACTATTATCTTCTTTCTTAAAACAGAAAAATTGACCTGTTTCAAATAATTAAAAATTGAAATTTTTCCCAAATGTGGACAATAATATTCAAATTCATTCTACATGTAATATGATTTTTTCACCAAACTACCTTATTTCATGACTATTTTATTGTTGTTGTTGGGTTTTATGTCGCACCAACACAGTATACATCATATGGCAACTTCCTATATTTTTACTGTAGAAGACGTCAGGTGCCCTTTCCATGCCTTATCTCAGGCACAAAAAGTCACCCGAGTAGAACCACAAACATTCTGTAAGCTAGCTGGATAGCTTCCTTACATGAAAAAATTCCAAAGTCCCTGTCTAGATTCAAACCCACAACAGTGAGAGGCAAGTGGTTTGATGTCCACGACCTTAACCACTCGGCCATGGACCTGTTCATTTTATGTCTAAAATATTTTCCAACTGGCCAGATCTAAATCTCTTCCAAAGAAAGAGTGAAAAAACACTACTAGTTCAACTTGAACACCCTGACCAACTTACCTTGTTGGATCAGACCCGTTTTCTAGCAAGGTATTAATCAGTAATTCGTGACCGTATCTGGCAGCTATGTGGAGTGGCGTGTTCCCCACTTTATCACAGCAATCAACCTGAGCACCTGGCAAATGTAATAAAAATCATAAATATGATATTATATGTACTTTTTTGTAGATGTAAAAATATAAAACATAAAATAGTTAAAATTCAAAACGCTATAACAGACTAGCGGTCACTCTATTTTTTCAATATTTTTACAGCCAATTAAAAATTTTTTTTGTTTCATATCATAATTTAAGATAATTTGGTCAAGTGCCTATTTTTTTTATTTTTATTTATTTTTTGTTTTGTTTTTTCCTTAGAATTTCAAGTTAAATAATGTTAGTTGTCTTAAATAAAAGTCTAAATTAATGATACTTTTTGTTCTCTAAAAAGAATTGCACAAAAAGGATATCACCAATATTATGGCTGTAACAAGTATATCAGATATTTGCAATTCAGACCTTTACAATACAGATTGGGTATCCATTAGTCAAATCAATGTGAATTTTTTTGTTATTATAAAACTCTTCAATTATTGCATAAAACCTTGAGAAAAACTATCATTTCACTGTTAAACTTTATCTTCTTTACATTCATATGCATTTACCCTGTTCTCAAACATTTACTGTCAGCTAAACTTCATATTCATATCTGTTGTTATAGGAATTACGTAGAACTCATTTTTTACATATACTTTTAGTTTTTCATTTAAATTTCTTTTTAAACAACATTTTTGATTCATTAATTTCATTCAGAATTAAAACAATTAGATGATTCATGATATGATTTGTGAATTGACAGGTCTGAATCAGAGATTGGATTGGAGCGCCACCTGGCTAGCAAACACAGTCAAAACCAGTGCTTTTTTTTCAAAAATCCTGGCAAACAATCAAAAACCTTCCCCAGGGCCTTCAGTACGGATAATATCTCCCCATAAGTCTACAGAAAGTAGACTCCAACTCAGTGCAGCAATAGTCACATAATAAAAACATCACTTATCTGTTTCTTGTATTCATTACCACGGTAACCCTTAAACCAAATTTCATTTGCACAGCAAATTTCATAATCTGCATCAAGAAACCTAAATCTAATTCCAGCCTGCATCACTTAAAATCTATAGAGACTACTTTTCCCCATAACCTCTCTAATCAGTGGAATATTCTATCCTAATTTCAAAAATTTCTTTATTTATATCCCAAATTTTTCCCCCTTCCAAAAATATACAGATTTCCAGCTCCTACCCGTAAAATAACAAAAAAAATCTGTTCCAAAATGCTTTATATAGAAAAAATCCCGGAACTAAGAATTTTACTATGATTTTTTCATATGTTAACTGTCATGTCTTTTTATGACCTTAATATCAATGGTATTATTCTTTATTTTTTTATGAATAATTACTGAATCTATCAACAATGTTGGTCATTCATTTGACTTCAGAGACCGAAAATTCCACTTGTCGTAATTACGAGTAGAATTTAAGAGAACTCAAAGCAGGACTAGTAGAACAATGTTGTCTGCACATTGGATTTAGAAGCTACTTGTTCTGCAGGACAAGTGACTCTGAAAATATTTTTCCATGGCTGAACTTCTTAAGCACGATAAGCTGTATACACCAAAGAAAATCATGATGAATCTTATTTGTTGGTAAATGTATGTACTAATGCTTTTAAATGTAATTTTACAAAATAATTTCAACCGAATTAAAAAAAGTACATCTAACTTTACAGCATTATGTTGAAATAAATAAACTTGTAAAAATTATATGTATAATTAAGCAATGAAAATAAATAAGAAACCAAATATGCACAATTTTTGTAACTAAATATTAAACTTAAACTTGAAATGAGTATATATAATAATCTCCATCAAAAATATCAACCCCATACCCTGCTGGAACCAAAAATGATTAACCCTTGCCACACCAGTATAGTGCCAGGCCAGCCAGTACGTTAGGCCAGCGTAGCCTGTACATTAGGCCAGCCTAGCCTGAACATTAGGCCAGTCTAGCCTGTACATCAGGCCAGCCTGAACATCAGTGCAGTCTGACCAGGCTCTATACTACAGTGCTGATTGACAAGGCTCTACATACAGTTGGCTCACTAAATTAAAATTTTCATTCTGACATCCCCACAATTGAAAATGGACAGTTCTAAAAATAGAAGCTGGACAAGTCCATTAAAAAATTCCAGCATGTTGGGTTAATCACAGTATACACATGATTGTGCAACATGCATATGTCACCATTCAATCATGCATTCATAACAACCAAAATAAATAGTTCTTATCCGGAACCCGGCAAATATTGGATTTTCCCTTTATATAATCACAGAATACAAACAAACTTTTACCATTTATTAATTTATAACTTCACAGTGTACTACCATTCACAACAGTGATCAATGCACTGTAATTATTATTAATATCTTTTTCGAATTGTAACTGTAAAAGTTTGTTCCCTGATAAGATGGGAAAACCCCAATATTTTCCGAGTTCCGGCATATATCTTTATTCTACTATGTACTAGGAAGGAAAATCAAATTCCATACATGACTCATGCTAGAGAAGATACCATATGTACCTAAACCATGAATATATTTCCTAACATCTGACAGCAAACCTGTGCCAAAAAATAATAAAAAAAAGTTTTCCATAAATTTTATAAAAATATTTTCTATTTTTTTCCAGTAATTTATCGAAATCAATCATTTAACCCTATTAGACCACAAAAATATTGTTTTCTTATAAATTATAAAAAAAATCCCTAAAATTCACAAAAAAATCATTTTCCGACAAATTCTTAAAAATAGTTTTGAATTCTAAAATTCACAAAAATACTCTTTTCTTATAAATTCTCAAATAATAATTATATTTCCAATAGATTTTCAAAAGAATTCCACTCTTCCCTCAAAATAATTTCTTTTTTTTTTACTATTGTCATTTTCCAAAAAGGCTATTTTTAGAACCTCAATGTGCCGTTTAAAGTGTAGTTATTAACTCAATGGGTGATCGGTCAAATTGATAAATGATGCATATTATGGTATTGAAACAGACTGAGTCAAGTGAAGTTTAATAATACTTAATGTTATTTTAATTTTAATAAATTATTTTTACTCATATAATATCCTTTTATTAATATATCAAGATGCTTAAGTAAATGCATCAATGATCCTAAATTAATGCATAAATATGCCTAAATTATTGTATACCTAAATGCATTAATGTGCCTATACCAATGCATTAACATGCCTAAATCATTGCTTTAATGTACATAAATTATTGCATTAATGTACCTGAATTAATGCATAAATGTACCTAAATACATTCATGAATGTGCCTAAATTATTGCATTAATGTCTCCAACTTATTAACTCCCACATCATTGCTTTAAGTTAAATGTGCCTCAGTTAAGTTTAATGTGTCTATGTTACTGCTTTAAACAGTTATTTTGTGACAAAAAATGCAAAATTCATACAAGCTAAAGCCACAGTTTAGTGAGGATAAGTTACCATGGAAACCACTTTTAAGTTGATTGAATTCTATTAACTGATAGACTGTCGAATTTAATCGTCTGATTTCTTTTTGTATTCAAGAAAATAGCTTACAAGTCTTACAATTTCCATTTCAACGGGATTAAACTTGTATATATTTGGAAAAAGAATAAAATTCCCTACTTCAGTTGATATAGGGAACAAAAATAAATCCATCATCTACTTCAGTAGATAAAGGTGACAAAAATAAATCCATTTATTTGAGAATCAACTCAGATACAGTTATAGATAAATCCTTGTAACAGATAAATACTTTTAAGTTTCCTGCAGATAAATTTAGAAAATTTTCATCAAATTTGTTGTCTCCATAAAATGAAAATGTATCAAGTAGGAAAATATTTTTAAAAAAGGAAGTCAAGTATATCATATTCATTAATAGGTCTGGGAAATACTACATTTACCCATTAAAAGACAGAACCCTCTGAGTAAAGTAAGATGGTAGGTAGGGTAGTTTCAACCAAACCATGATACTTGAAAATTGAATTGTTAAAATGATAACATTGGAAAGTTGTCTAAAGTTGTTGAAATGAAGGATATCAAATTATGAAAATAAATGTTCCTTTACAAATTTATTGCTTTCTTTCAACAAAATTGGAAATGGGTATGTATTCATTACTTTCAACACAGAATACTGCTACAGCAGTGGTTTTTAATTCTCATTTTTGGGAAATTTTTATTGTACTGTACCAAAACAAAACTAGGGGAAATATATAATATTATATCAAATGATCATTAAGAACGTTAAGAATGATTTTGTAAATTAAATTTAAAAAAAGTTTGTCATAATTTGTTTCACAAAGTTGGGCAAAAACTTACAGTTAAATATTTTGGATTAAGACTGTGTCTATTTAAAACATTAATTTCATAATTTACAAAAATTTAAAAATACAAATGTACCAACAATAATATTTGCTTTTTCCTAAAGATTTTTTTTCTCTCATTACTTCCCTGAAATATTTTTTTTTTCCCTGACTTCCGTGAAATATAATTTAAATTTAAAGTTGTTTCCATGGTAACATTAAAGCATTAGTAAGTGGATTAATATTGTCAGTAGTCTCACCATGCTCAATAAGGGTTTGGGCACGAGTAAACCGTCCATGCAAGGCAGTCATGTGTAACGGCGTTCTCCCGTCATCACACTAGAAAAACAAAAACATTCATTTTGTCAATCATATTCAGTCATTCTGCTGTACCATTCCCTTTAGGGTCCAGTCTTATCATATTCTATCTTTCTGCTGAACCATTCCCTTTAGGTTGCAGTCTTTTCCAATACAATACTGCACAAACTGTTCCAAATCCTTCCATGTTTTTTGACCACTGGGTTGCTTCTTTTTTTTCCTTGAAATGTTGCTTAGCACTAAAGCATGTAGATATTTTTTGCATAAGGAAAAGATAAAAAAGAATGAAATTCCTACATTTTACAGCAAGAGTTCAGGACCATGCATTTACTTTGTTTCCTACATGATCCTCGAAGGAATTTTCAGATTGCAAGAAAAAGAGATTCTGTGGAAATTATGCAGAATTTAGGCAA